AATCTGGTGCGCACCCCGGCGCCATGCGCCCGAAGAGAGATGCTGCCCGGTCAGCTGATAAGGCCAGACAGCAACTGATTAATGCCGGCTCCTTGTAGAGCTGCAGCAGCAATATTCTGTGTTCGATGAGAGCATCACGTTGCACCATGCTCTGTACTCTAGTAGCATCACGCTGTTGTAGGAACGAGTCAGGTACATGTAGTACACTAATTTCTAAGCTCTCATCTGGAGGGAGTGTGGAATATTGCATGCTTGTCAGATAGTGCATGCTTGTTAGATATTGCATGCTTGTTAGAGATTGCATGAATAAGAGTATTGTCACAAACTAATGGTTCGCACCAAGCGTACATACAAGCATACAAGCAATTGATTATACAGTCTTCTTTCTTCTTTCTATCGTGTCTTCTAAAGTATTTTACTTACCTTTTGCGCCATGGTACGTCTACGACGTTCCCATGGTCTTCACGTATGACATACGGTTTTCTAGCCCTTTTTCCTGGAGCTTGTCTCCTCGTGTCGTTTCTGTTTTTCATTGGTTTTTCTTTACGTTGTCTAAGGATAAGTAACAGTTTGAGTCTAAGAGAACCCAAGATGCGCTCGCGTTGAGCCAAAGCAGCCTTACAAGATACCCTTTTGTAAAGTTGGAAAGTGATTTACATCACTTTGAATTTTACAAGTATGGGAGAGGGTGAGCGCTGCAGGAGCAGATTGAGTTAATTAGCAGTGAGCAGGTTTCTTGTTTGAAAGCAGGCCGGGAGGAGACGTCACGAATGCTAGCAGGGAGGGCATTGTAGTATTCTAGGGACTTGTACAGTGGGGAGTCTTTACAGCGATCGGTTCTGGAGGGTGGGAGGTGCCAAGTGCGTGTGTGTCGAAGGCTGTACTGGGCCGTAACTTGAGCGGGGTTGTTCAGCATGCGTATGTGTTGTGGGGCATATTGGTATTTTATGGAGTGGGCAAGAAGGGTGAGCTTCACTTTGCGGCGAGAGAACATTGTCGGCCATTTGAGCCGATGGAGCAGTGTTGAATGATTCAGAGGAGTGTAGAGGGGGAGACGGAGGCGAATTCTGGCCGCCTTGCGCTGGATTCGCTCAAGACGGTCAAGGGCTGCGATTGAGAGCGGGGTGACAGCAATGCATGCATATTCAATTATAGGCAGGATAAATGTTTTGTTAATGAGAGAGAGTGATTTAGTGTGTAGAGTTGATTTGAGCCTAAAGAGAATATTAAAAGATTTTACGGCTTTTTTCAGCACAAAGTCAAGGTGGGCTGACCATCTTAGGTCGTGCTGAAAGATGATGCCGAGGTGACGATGTTGTGTTACTGTTTCTAGTTGGGTTTGCCCAAGTTTTATTTCGGGTAGTTGTGTTGGGGGTCGGTTAGCATGGTAGAACGGGAGGATGACGGTTTTCGTTTTATTGACTAGCATGTGCCAGTGCTCTAGCCATTCTGCTGCGGCATCGACGCTTCTTTGTAGCACAGCCTCACACTCAATGTAGCTGCCTGCAATGGCAATTAGTGCGGTGTCGTCCGCGAACTGGCTACACGAGGTTGTAGCATTTTCACAGGCAGTGGGCAGGTCAATGGTGTACGCCAGGAACAGAAGTGGTCCCAGGACCGAGCCCTGGGGCACTCCCGCTGGTATTGGTATGAAGGCGGATGTTGTGCCTTCAAACTGCACCCGCTGTCTGCGTCCTGTCAAGTAGGCTTCGAGCCACTTGTGAGCCTTGCCGTCGACACCGTAGTGGCTCAGCTTTTTCAGCAAGCCTTGATGCCATACACGATCAAAGGCTTTACTGAGATCGAAGAAACACGTAACAACATGCTTCCCCGCATCCCTAGCTGTGGATATCTGGTGGACGATCCGTGCGAGTTGCAGTTCGGTCCCGTCTTGTTTCCTGAAGCCGGATTGGTTGGAGGGTAAGTGCGGTGCTATGTGATTGTACAGACGAGAGTGGACTATTTTTCTTGTGTTTTTGATATTATACTGAGCAGGGAGATGGGTCGGTAGTTGGTAGGATGAGAGGGGTTGCCCGACTTGGGGATGGGTGTAATAGTTGCGTCTTTCTGATCCTGTGGTATTTCTCCGGTTCTGAAGGACAGATTGTAGAGACTAGTGAGAGCTGGGGAGATTTCCTTTGCAGTTTTTTTCAGGGGCCGAGTTGGGATGTTGTCAAAGCCTGGGCTCTTGCCAGTGTCTAGACTGCTTAGAAGCTTCTTGACCTCTTCCACTGTTGCTGCGATTGTATTTAGAGTATGCCTGATGTCAGGGGTAGTGTTGATGTCTGGTGTAGTACAGGTGGTCTTGTCGATGGACTGTTGGCTTTGGGAGATAAAGAACTTGTTGAGAGCTGTTGCCTTCCCCATAGCCGTGGCTGCAGTGGAGTTGGCTGTCGATAGTGTGGGAATTGTTTGCTTAGACGGTTTCTTCAGGCGCTTCAGTAGACGGTGGAGGTTTGTACCCGTTGACGTTGTTTGCTGGACAAAATCAGACTTAGCCTGTCGCAAAAGAGCGGTTACTCGGTTACGCTGGGCTGTGTACAGTTTCCAATCTGAGTCTAGTTGGGTCGCCTTGTAGGTGCGGAACTGTTCGTGCTTTGTTTTGATCTGGCTGAGAAGATCCTTCGTCATTCAGGGACGAGTGGGCGTAGTATTTTTGCGGGATTTGCTTCTGGTCACTTGGCAGTGGTGCACGGCTAGTTTCAGTATCTGGTCTCTCCAGAAGTTCCAGAATGAGGTTACTGGCTGAGGGTCAGTGGGATGTGGATCGTACTGCAGATGGCAGGTAGCAAGAGCTTCACGCAGTGATGCAATGCGTTCCTCGCTCCATAACCAGTATGTGCTGGAGGTGCTCTGCTGTATAGTACTGCTCTCATTTTTATTATTATTATTATTGTTAACCGCAATCAGTAATACAAGCTGGATCGACATTGGTGTACACTGTATTCATGTATTGTAAAACTGTGGAGACAATGTGCAATAAAACGATGAAAATGTGAAGAAATTGTGTAGAGAAAAAAAGGGATTCTAACAAGTTTTCGTACAACACTCATCAGGAATCTTCGTTGTACTAAAGGACACTGAAAACAAAATTGAACTATTATAGAAAATCTAAGTTAGAGAAATAACACCAAGAACAACAGCAGTGAAATTTGCAAGTGTGAATTTTAACAATGAAAGCGAGAGCAATACCGAATGTGTGTACTAACACTAAACTTGCAACTGAAAAATGAACAAAGAAGAGAAAGAAAGAAGGAAGGACAAAGTGATAACAAATAACAGCAGTACATTATACCTAGAACATTATAGGCCAAGCTTGGCCGCACCAAACATGACACTTTACTTGAACAATTTCAACCCAATTATACTATCCTTCTGTACACACAAATTAGGCTTATACAGACGCTGACAGATGGCTTCCAAAACTTTTAACTGTAGTCCATAACCATGACGACCACAGCACAATACAGTGAATGAAGAGTCGGAATACGAATTGCAACAATCAGGACTAGCCAACAGATGATTGTACACTGAAGACTTGCTACCACTAAACCTACGCACAACACTAACATTCTCACCGGCACTCTCACGATCACTACAATCGTCGCTCTCCGACTCATTGCTCCCTTCACCGTCCGTCCCATCATCTGCTTCCTCTGCGCTCTCTCTGTTATCCCGCCTGACATGGTCCATTGAACGGGACTCGGCCGTCACCCTGCTCTCACGTCCCTCCTTACGCCCTTGTCCGTTGAGTGCGTAGTTTCTGTTGTAGTTGGCTGTTGATCGTCTTGGTCTTTCAATAGTGGACCTGATTGAGGCATCCGCAGAGGAGCTTGCTGCAGAGCCTGCATTGCCATCAGTGTAACTGCTGCAGTTTTCGAAGTGTGTGTGTGTGTGTGTGTGTGTGTGTGTGTGTGTGTGTGTGTGTGTGTGTGTGTGTGTGTGTGTGAGTGTGCTCATGTGTGTGTGTGTGTGCAGGTGTGTGTGTGTGTGTGTGTGTATGTAGTGTGTGTGTCTGTGTGTGCATGCGTAACGTTACGGCCTGTATTGAATTGTGTACTTTGAAGTTATTTGTGGCAGCTCAAATTAGAAAAGATAGTAAATATCCCTGTTGCAATCAACATATCACGTATAATGACATAATTACTCAATCTGCGGACAGCATGCTGTAATGACATAATTATTACTTTATTGGAATTTGAAAAATAAATTCAAGTAACCATGACAATATTACATGTTACGTGCGTGGAAATATGTCGCTAAGCCAATAAGCCGATCGTTATGATATCAGCTGAGCCACAAAGGAAATATCACGATCGTTTCAGCCCCAGGACTCTATGAGCATGCGCACTGAGAGAGAGGATGTTGATTTTGAGAGAGACGAAGTTTCCTTTTACTTGTGGGATTTTGTCTTTGCTTCTGGAGTGAATTGTAATTCTTTTCTTTGACTGCTGTGGAAATAAATAATCCTAAGAAATCCTGCAAGCAAGCAGGTTACAATACCAGCGATCTATATCTTTGTGCATAGATTGGTGTTTCTTCGTGTCGTATGTTTATCCTCATATTTCCAGCTTTGCAATAGTTGTTGGGGGTAGATAAAAGTGTGTTTGACGTGGTGTCCATTTAAAATCAGTTGAGTCAAACGGCCTGGAATAGCGCTTCCGATCATTGGTCATAGCACAGCCATGCAGATTTGGCTAAGAGCAAAACATATTGTAGACTCAATGTGACAACGTTTTCGAATCAAAACACCTAGACAGAATGTGAATTTGACCCCGCTCCTGTTTTTCGTGTGATCTCTGATAAGCTTCTGCAGCCTCTACAAATGATGCACTATATTGCCAGGTGGAAATTGGGTCAAGTGTTTTGCTACACCTGTGGCATATGGAAAGGGTTTCTAAAATCCCATTTCGAAAGTTAAGTTTGGATGAACTTTCAACTTCTTTGCATTTCTATCAAATTTAAAAAAAAAATATTGCTGTTTTATCACGACTCTGCAGTTCCTCCTGCGCCAATTGTCAATTCTGCAAGGCCACTAGCCACCGAGGTGACAATTCACCTAACACGTGTAAAAGGAAATTATCACTTGTCCAACTTCTGCTGTTACTTCACCAGGCAATCGGTGTCTGACATACATATGTCAAGCTTGCCCAGTGTCATGATCTGCAACAAGACCAGTCCTGTTGTCCTTTCACCGATTCAAGAAGATGCAACATATACATATCACTGTGTGGCTAGAAACACGTATAATGCATCGGATGGAAATGCTACAGAACAAAAAATGTTCAGTACGACAGCAACAGGTAGGGAGCCGGTATCAGAGATTTGTTTCAGAATATGCAGAGAGCAGACTAGCAAATCCTGCAGCTGTGTTCTGGGGAAATCAGGAGAGTTGAAGTACAATAATGCTGCAGTATGGAGTGCTGCATACTGGCCTGTTGCCAAGGCACTTGACATGCTCTCCTCAGCTTTGTACACTTCCTTTAAAATCCTCGAGTGATAGTATCCCGAAAGTCCTAAGGTCCCCCAGCAATCATCGCCTTGAGGCAAGCCGATTGAAGGCTTGTCCACATGGGTCCTGGAAGGTAGGTTTTCACTCAAGTTGTGTTGGTTCAAACATCAACTAAAAAAATAAATATAGATAAATTTCACGGTTCGCGTGAGACTCGGCTGGAAGCCGAGTTTTCCGCATCCGCCGTGGGAACACCACCACCCTCTAGGATCAAAGGCGCAGATACAGCGCCTAAACGGTGGGAGGTGAGTAGATCAGACCCACCACCAAATGGTCAAAGATCGAAATCCCATTAGCTGCATCCATGCTACCCTCGTGCCAGGCCACGAGTTCCCAATTAACTGTGGGTCGCAGCACGGTTGGAAAAATTCCTTCCGCTTCCAAGCAGGACTTGAACCTGGTACCCTCTGTTTCTCAATCATGGTCTTAGACCATCCCACTATGCCTGCCTGCCTACATCAACTCTAGGATCAAAGGCGCAGATACAGCGCCTAAACGGTTGGAGGTGAGTAGATCAGACCCACCACCAAATGGTCAAAGATCGAAATCCCATTAGCTGCATCCATGTTACCCTCGTGCCAGGCCACGAGTTCCCAATTAACTGTGGGTCGCAGCACGGTTGGAAAAATTCCTTCCGCTTCCAAGCAGGACTTGAACCTGGTACCCTCTGTTTCTCAATCATGGTCTTAGACCATCCCACTATGCCTGCCTGCCTACATCAACTAACATCAACTTAGGTTCCCTGAAAGACAGCAACAGCTTTTTGGGACTCCCACTATAATTATAAGTGTGTTGAGAGCTTTTTGTTCACTGGGTTTTACATTGTAGCCATTCTTGCATGCGTGAATGGCAACTCAGGATCTGTATGATGAGACGGGGTGTATACTGCATTCTGTTGGTCATTGCATCATCACTGCATCACGTTAACCTTTGCATTGCTGAGCCCATATCATTACACAACAGTATTACGTGATAAGTGTACATCGGGTATTAGAGAGGTTCCGGGGTACGGTTTTCCGTGCCAAAACCCGTGTGGGCTCTACGAATTTTTTCAAGGCGTTCTTCATACAATTTTTCGGCACGGAGAATCCGTGTGGACTGGCTTTCATACGAACCATGTTTTGTATGGAGATTTTGCGTCATCGGGTGCAGAAAGATTTTTCGAGTACAAATTTGGTACGAGAAACATCGATTTTCCGCGGGAAGTTTTGATTTCGGAACAAATTTTCAAAATAAAAAGGCATAGCACGGGAATGTGACGTGTTTGCAATCGTAACCTAGGCAATGACGGCAAACACATACTAGTAAGTTCCGTACTCCGGAACATTTCACAGCTCGAAAACGGCGTATAAAAAATCCGTAGTGCCTCTACGGATTTTGGCACGAAAAAATCGTACTCCGGAACCTCTCAATTGATGAGAATTAACAGGGCATGCATATGTTCATATGCCCGTTAACCCTTTAAGAGCCACAGGAAATTTTCAAAATTCTGCATTTTTTCGTGTTCCTTGGATCATAGCTTCAGTTCTACTCACTCAATCCTCGCAATCTAGGGCTTCCTGGAAAGGTCTCCGCGAGAGGAAGAGAATGTGGTCGATCATGATAGCCAGCACACCGTCTAGCCAGCGCTAGATCGCAGCGACAGTACGAAAAATGCCCCAAATGCGTCCCGCTCCAGATATTTCATTTTACTCGATCGTGGAGTTCCAATTTTTTCGCTGTGTACTCTTGACAATATCAACAGTGAAACCCGTGCAAATTCGAGTAAACCAGCGTGGCGAAAAGTCTCAAAATTCTCAATACTAAAGTCGCACTGCGCGCTTTTGAAATTGCCGCGATCGCGGCTCAACTTACAAGTGATTTATCTCAGGAACCGTGGCTCGCAGTGCTTCGCGGATTGTTTCTCCCGAGAGGTGACAGTTTTCTCTTTGCCCTGGATATTTCGATCACTGGATTTGAGCGAGATTGGACTGAGTTACGATCTTTTGAAGTTTTGCATTTGAATGCGTCGTTTACGACGCATTCAAGTATGGGGCGGCTCTTAAAGGGTTAACCCATTACCGTTTGTACGGACAAATTTCGACCGCTCGCGATCGATGACTTCTATGTGCACAGCGCTGGACTGGTTCACCGCAGAGAGGTGGGATTTTCCCTACTGGTAGCCAAGATGTATGCGCAGAGGGTGCCAACAATTTTTTGTGTGATGCAATAATTATTTAAAAATCGTGGAAGTCTCAACTTGAAAAATGCTCTTTGGGAAAAGTGCGTACCCTGCGACTTTTGGTATTGCCTGCAGATGTTTTCGACTTTTGCTTGAGCTGGCCTCGCGACTGTCTGCCCTGCTGTGCAAGCCATGGACATGGAGCCAGCTCTTTCGCTTCTGGAGACCCTTCCTGAAGACCCTGTCGCCGCCTCATCCAGCGAAGATGAGTTTGTGGAGCCAGACGATCCTGTTGAAAATATTTATTCTGACGACGACAGCGACGATGACATGGCGAGTGAAAGCAGCGCCAGCGAGAGTGACATTTAGCACTAATAATTATTTGGATTTATTGCCGATCGGGCAAACTGTTGCAATATGCAATAAATCAAATTCTTGCACTGGAGTGGCTCCCTCAGGTAAGTGGATACCAGGTTCGTTCTCTGGGTCGGGAATGCAGGAGTGTTACCAGTCACAGCAGTGTCAGTATTGTCCCAAGTGTTGCAAATATCGACTAGTCGATATTTGCAACACTTGGGACAATACTGACACTGCATATTGCAACAGTTTGCCCGATCGGCAATAAATCCAAATAATTATTAGTGCTAAATAGTGGAATCTGGACTTGAAAGTTGTTGCATCGCATTCCTGGGGTTTTTTACTTTCAGAATCACCCTATGTTGTACTTAATAAAAGTGAAAAATAAAAATGTTACGGCATGAACAATACGGAGCATCAGCAAATCGAATTTTCGATTTCGAATGGCAAAAAGAAAATCAGTGCGAAAATTCGAATGAACAAGAGGTCCAGCATGCAGTGCAGTCCAGTATATTCGCATCGAGGTTTTTTTAGCTTGAACATGCAGTTCAGGACTGGAGATTTTGAGACGTGCAATGGCTGTGTTTGTTGCAGAGCAAGTCGATTGGTTGGATTTGCTTCTCCTCCTTGAGTTTGCTAAAGGTCACCTGGACCGAACGCAGTTGCTGTTGTTTCTCATTGCCGTTGAGGATGACGCGAAGCGGCGGACGCTTCATCCGATTCAGGCTATTGGCGATAGGATCTCTCTTGGAGACCCCTTGAAAAGGCGGATCTCGGCCGAGCTCCTCCGCTATCCCTTGCATATCAGGAGATTCGCGAATGAATAGCTGAGGGTGGGCCCTACACTGCCTCAGCAGAATGAGATCCATGGTGAGGTCGAACCTCAAATATTTGGCACACTTTGAGCTGCCTTCTCCCTGCGGGGAACTCACCATAAACGCAGATGCTGAGCGGCAACGCCAGCATCGCTACTGGGAGCAGGAGGCATACCGGGGCTGGTAGTTGGTGACAAGGCCATGTTTCCTGAGGATACTTGAAATGAAGCAAAAAGCACACTAGACAAAACTCTTCACAGTTCGAGAGAGAGAGAGAGAGAGAGAGAGAGAGAGAGAGAGAGAGAGAGAGAGAGAGAGAGAGAGAGAGAGAGAGAGAGAGAGAGAGAGAGAGAGGAAAGCATCAAGAAGTCCGGTTGGACTGTGCCTTGTGCACTTTTTTATTACACTAGTCTTTAGTAGTAAGAGCTAGTAGCTACATGCGCAAGTATAGGTACTCATAGTGCGCCGTGTACATGACACGAGGAGAATTCGAAAATTATTTTCTGTTTGCAGGCATTTTCCAGTCAAACAAAGCCCTACAATTGTAGTTTCGACTGATTGTGTGCTTTTCGTGACAATTCTCGAATTTCACTCGAAAATTCGATTTGCTGATGCTCTGTATTGACGGTCGGCTTTTGTGGAACAAATACCTTTTAAAACGGTAAAGGGTTAATTCTTACCAATTCCCAATCGAAATATTGTAGGGTGATGCGAAAGCTCTCAGCTTGCGATCGGATCAATATTTGTTGATTTATGGTGCTCAATGGACAAGCATATCCACACGAACCCAACGGCTATTGGGCAGTGAGTGGGTGCTTGATTTCCTTCTTTCTGTGCTTTTTCAACGTGGTGCCAAGACTGCTTCGAGCAATAGACCCGCGGGAATGTTCAAAAAACATTTGATCTCGATACAACCGAGGAGAGTCAAATGGCGGCTGAAAGAAAACTTTCTTTTGATTTGCGCAAACGCGACTTTGGGACAAATTCGCTTACTTCAAAATCTTGTCTCCTGCCATGTGAAGACTTGTGCGTCAGCTCATCATTTTCCTGGTTGTAGTAGCTTTCCAGGAAGCCAAAGAGCATGAAATATGGAGAATGTGAATGCCTGAGCTACAGCCTTTTACATGTAGCATGTTCTTAGTAAAAAAAGAACCCGTTTTCTCTGATCCTTAACGCCCTGGCATCAGTATCCGCAGCAGTCAAAGGGTTAAATTCACACCTCTTGTAAACCCGTCTGTGTAGATGTACATCATACAACTTGATCTACTATACTATCATAATTTCTGTCTACTTGTTATGAACAGCTCCAAGTGTGGCGCCTAGCAATTTCACTTGGGTAACCCAAACAGCAATGTCAGTGAACCTCAGCTGGACTGCTGTTGACCCATTCAAACTGAATGGATTGCTTATTGGTTACCATGTTAAATGCCAGTACCTGAATGGAAGCTTTGTGACCTCTGCCAATACCAACAGCACACAGATCTCGGTAACAGGTTTAACCTTTAATACAACGTACAATGTATCGGTCACGGCTGAGTCATCTGGTGGTACGAGCAAACACAGAAGTTCGTTGCAAGTCTCTACAAGCCAAAATTGTAAGTGAATGATGAGTGTTTTAATAGCGGCTGATACTCTGGAAAATACGGCACTCACTTGCCACGTTTATTGACGAGCTTTCCTTGTTGTTCTTCACTGTCCTATCTCAGTACCACCTGCTCCGACATTCAGTGTAACAACATCAACAACTTCGATATCGGTGATTTTCAATGAACTTAAGGGACAATTCTCAATCAGCAGGTACTGCTGTAATTTTACCCTACAAGATGTGTCAAGAACGCCACAACCGGGAAGTACGACCAAAACTGTTTGCAGCAAAACCAAAACTGTGTCGTTGACTAGAACTGAGGAAGATGCTTCGTACGATCTGAAAGCGTATGCGAACAATACAGCTGGCAACACTGGAGCTAGTGCCACAGAAACTGATGTTCGCACCAAACCAGCAGGTACTCACAATATCTGTCATATTATGTGATAGGTGAATTTTGCATACCATTGTTCATTGAGCAACGAATGGTTCTTTCTTGTAGGCCTACCAAGTCAATTAGCTTGATGGACTTCTGGTGTTTTCCAGGTGGCAGTCCTGACTCAGTAGAGAGGTTAAGATGCACGTTATTTCTGACGAGGCACGAAAGTTCAGCTCGCATTATTTGACTCGCGTGTGGAAAAACGACGAGATTGTCCTGCAGCTCACGTCAAAATTTGGAGTTTTACGCCAAATTTGACGTGGACTTGCGCGTCACGTTGGAAATAATGTGCATCTTAAAACATTTCTAGTGAAGTGTCAAGGCAGCAGAGAAAGCTCTAGCTCCAAATTTGCTAGCACTCAACTGTCTTTAAAAACCAGCTACCGTATTTTCCGGGGTATAAGCCGCACTTTTTTTCGCTAAAAATCGGACCAAAATCGCCCCTGCGGCCGCTTATACACCGAATATGCTTGCGCGAATGAATGCTTAGCATACATCAGTATGCATGCTGACGTCATGTGACATGTCATTCGACTCAGCTTCGCGCCTGTGTTGCTATCCCAGCACTTTTACTAGTTTTAGTGCGCGGGCTACACCATACGGTACGCGTATACGGGGACTCTATTTTGCGTACTCCAAGTGCCGGTTTCCACACATCCTAGTATACAGCGATACGATAATACTACTTTTTGTGTATAAATAGTGTCGGCTGGAATCTTTCCCTGTTGTGAACAGGGTACTCCCTGGCCTGGTACATAGCTGTAACGGAACGAATGTTTGTTTCCAAACATTTCAATTCGTCTTTCAGTCGTTCAGATTATTTTTTTCTTTAGCTATTCTTGCCGGTACTTCGATGGTGTCCTGGAGTTGACCATGCCGCGGCGGACAACATACACCGTGAAGGGGAAGATACACGCTGTGCTCTTCACCGAAGCGCATGGAAATCGGGCCTGCGCGAGACACTTCGACATCGATGAGTCGATGGTTCGTAGGTGGCGGAAACAGAAAGTCGAGCTGTCGAAGAAGAAAGTCGCGTCCAAATCGCTACATGCTGGACCCGAGCCACGATGGAATGAACTTGAGCGTAAGGTTTTCGAATGGATCGAGAAAAATCGAGAAGATAGGATTGGATTGAGTGGCACAATGATTCGCCTAAAAGCGAAAGTCTTCGCAAAGGAGATGAACGCCGTAAATTTCAACGCAACTGTTAGTTGGTGCTATCGTTTCATGAAGCGACATAGCCTTGTTATCCGGGCGAAGACTCACCTGTGCCAGCGACTGCCGGACGAGTTTGAGGAGAAGATTCTGTCCTTTCAGCGCAACGTCATCAGGTTGAGAGAACAGAACAAGTATCCGCTAGATCAGATTGGCAATATGGATGAAACACCTCTGAACTACGACATGCCCTTGTCCCGCACTATCGACAAAATCGGAGCGAAGGCTATTCACATCAAAACGACAGGGCACGAACGAGAGCACTTTACTGTGGCTTTAGCATGCCTTGCCGATGGGACAAAGTTACGGCCATTTGTCATTTTCAAGCGAAATACTATGCCAAAGGATGCAGTGCCGCCTGATGTCATTGTCCACGTTCACCCCAAAGGCTGGATGGATGAAGCTGGAATGCATATGTGGCTGGATAAGGTTTGGTGTGCAAGCCAAGGTGGCCGTGGGAGCACCCCTGTTCGAAGCTGCCTTGTCTTTGACTCGTTTCGTGCACATCTAGTAGAGAACTTCAAAAGACGTGCTCGTGAAACAAGGACCGACCTTGCTGTTATCCCTGGTGGTCTGACATCCCAGCTTCAGCCACTTGATGTGTGCCTCAACAAGCCATTCAAGTGCCACATCAGGCAGCACTGGACAGACTGGATCATTGGTGGGAACCATGAGTTTACACCAACAGGCCGTATGAAGAAGCCATCAATTTCCAAAGTATGCAAATGGGTGGATGAGTCATGGAAGACCATCCCAACTACAATGGTCGCCAAGTCATTCAAAAAGTGCTCAATTTCAAATGCACTGGACGGCACTGAAGATGACATGATCTTTGAGGACCACAATGATTCAGACTCCGGCAGCGATGAAGACGGCGACGGCATCGCTGCAGAGGTAGCTTTGATCAACATCAGTGGCAGCGAGACTGAAGATAGTGCAGATGACATGGAGTGATCTGTAGTCAACACAGCAATACACCAACATCTCTGCAGCAACCTGTGGTGCACTAACACTTCATAATCTGATCTAACATGGCATTTAGCTCCATAACCATAATAAATTTGTAGAAAGGCCATTTGTGAATGAGTGTGAAAAATCTTGGTTTGTGGGTGCGGCTTATACTCCGAATACCAACTTTTAGTTAATATTTTGCCTCAAAAAGGGGGGTGCGGCTTATACCCCGGTGCGGCTTATACCCCGGAAAATACTGTATATTATTATTATTATTATTATATGCATTTCCGCGGCAATGTCACCCGAACAATGGCAACCTACATATTCGCATATGCCGGAAATAGAATGCTCTGCCAAAACCATAAATCAAATGACATCATATGGGCCCCGATCAGCTAAAACATGTCTTTGGGGTTTCGTAAAAAAGTTGAGAAATGACGAAATGAAAAGAAATGCTTTTTTCGAGCGTGTTCACTCTGCGCTTCATTCATGATGTGGCGATCATTTTCTCAAATTAATTTTGTTCAAACACTTGTTTGGTGGTCTAGTTCAAGTAGCTGGCGAGCAAAGACTGACAATGTTCGTATCTAGTGACACTAGAGCAGCTCACAGGGCCAGGTGATCGCTGTGCATGGCCCAGGTTTGGTCAGGTGTCAGCAAGTCCGTGGCAGCGGGTCTGCGGAGCGACGCTGACAATTTGTTGGGATATCAGTGATGTTGATGTCGACAGCGAAGCTGAATCATCCCCGTCGTCTCCAGTAGCGAAGAGGCACAAGTTGTGGGCGAGTACATTAGGCGGCGAACTGCCTTACGACGTTACTTGCCGTTCAGCTCTCATGAGTCGTCTGACGCAGTCTCGGAAGCGCAGGCGACGATCAATAGTGTCACTGCCAGAATCGAAAGAGTATGCAAGTGCAACGCCGCCCAGAGCATCGTGGTGCTTTCGAGGAAGAACTTGGTCCATGCCTTAGAACTGATGTCGTTGACATGCTCAAGTCTGTGTCAACATCTTTAGTTCCGTTGTATTGTGGTCCGCCACAAAAGCCACTAAGTTTGTCTCTTTGTGTCAGACTGTGCGAAAACTGTTCTTTTTTATTTCAAAGTACATATTTTGAAAGCGGTGTTTGGGGCACTTTTAGACCACTTTTAGACCACTTTTCTGCCCTGTACCACCTTCAAGAGGTCAAGTAAGGTCCCAAGAATTGTTTGCTGGAGGAAAACAAAATTTGAAAAATGTCGCTGGTTGCGGCCCATATATATCCGTTCTGTGTAATCCAGTCAAGAGAAACATACGACGGCACAGAGTCCTCTCCACCCTGCACGGTCCCTTGCCAGGATCCGGAGGCGCTGCAAGTCACCAAGCGACACAAGCCTTCCATTATCCGTTTTCGCCAGGTCTTCCGACAGCTTCGTGACAATTGTGACACGTGGGCGTCCTCGCCAGGTCTTCTCATCGTGCGTGAAATACGCCGCCATTGCCAATGATGCTGGGGTGTCCTCTGGCAAGCGGAGAATGTGACCAAAGAGTTGCCACCGCAGACGCTTGAGAATGTTGGTGATTTGCTCAGCTTTGCACCTGGCGTACAAAGAGACATTCGTCATCTTCTGACGCCAACTAATGCCAAGTAGTGATCGCAGTTGCTGACGGTGGAAGGAATCGAGACTCTGCTCCAAAGCCACCTTCAAGCCCCATGTTCCGCCGTCAGTGTAGGTCAGTACTGGTATGACAAACGCCTGATAGAGCCTCTGGCGCATCTTCTCACTGATAAGCTCTCGTCAACACCACACAGCAAAGAGTGACCTGAAAGCAGCTGTTGTGAGCTGCTTCCTTCTGATCACGTCTTGTTCATCACCCAGAAGTGACCCAAGCTTACGTGTCTTTCTCCAGACTTCCGCTAGACGATCCCCTTCTCTGCGTAGTGTTTTTTGCTCAGTTTTCTCTTCGTTCACTTTGAGATGCCATTCTCTGAGGACCTCAGTTATGCTTGGGCTGATACTATCCAACCATGTCCGTGAGCTGCTCAGAAAACCCATATCATCAGCATAGATAACTTCCCCAGGCAAGAGTTCATCAGCTGGCAGCCTGGGAGGTAACGTGGCCTTGAGATCACGTAGCGCTGATTCCCAGTAAATGACAAAAAGAACTGGAGATAGGCAGTCGCCCTGTGGGGTGCCGATTGTGGTCTCAAGCTCCAGCTATAGCTAAACCAGCTATAGCCCTATGTATTTCTATCAAGATGGTAGAACTTTTCTTAGTGGGAAAGGCCCTGGTACAACCTTCATAGTATGTGGGACTGAGTTTTTGCCGTTATTAAACCGATATCACGTACAGGTGGAATTACCCCTTGCCTGCCATACTGCTACTTCTTGTACTGATGTTGTGCCTGGAGGTAGGATCTGTATTCAAGTTTCATATAATCTGTGGGGAGCTTTACCAGAGAATACTGAACACTAGACTTGGGTGGAGACAAACCACGACATGTTACTGTTATAAGGGTAGAGTTCGACTGTATTTTGATCGTGGTTCGAATGCCATGGTGTATACGAGACGCGAACGGTAGCAGCCGAAAAAACTAAGAAACATTTCTGGACACTCCTTGACGACTATTGCATATTTTTTCTTCTCCACCACTGCTTGTTCATGTTTGCATTGCTCCACAAACACTTTGAAGACAACATTATTCGTTATCATATTGCATCTTCCTTTCATAAAAACCGCTTGCTTGAGCTGAGCGCCAGTTAAGTGTACCTTTGTCAAGTATCGTGCAGTGTTATCACATGATCTGATTGTAAAGTAACTGGTGATGTCAGTGGATATTAAAGCATAACTTGCAGCTCTTTGGTCCTCTTTTCTTCTTATGAAGACTGAATAATGTCGCTTTAAAAGGTCGTTTAGGGAACTTGCTGGTTCAACTCCACACAATGTAGACACCGTTCGGGTACCAATTTAGGGTTGGCCATCATTGCACGCATATCCGGCCCTGCGGGTATATATCCCTGTTTTACCAGGTTGCTATGTACTGTTTTTACTGCTATACTATAATTATGTTCTGCAGCTCCAGATGATCCCCCGGGAGCACTGACCATCGGATTAGAAAAACCTACATCTATCTCTATTTCCTGGACACCAGTTGATCATCTGCTTCTGAACGGGGAATTACTGGGTTACAGTGTGAAATATACAGATGAAGGAATGGTCGTAACCATGTTCAATGTGACCCTGTCAGAGAAAGCTAACATATCCGGCTTGGACCCAGGTTATACATACAGCATTGAGGTAGCAGCAATCTCAACTGGTGGTATTGGCCCATATACTTCTCCGGTGAAAGCTACCACCACACAAGAATGTAAGTCCTGACTGTGAAGTCAGCACAGACCAACAAGAAATGATAGGTCACGGGTATAGCCAGAAATCAACACCACAGTAAAAAAAACTAGTTTACTGGCACTCCTGCACACCTTCAAGTACACACGCGCACACATATGCACACCCATGCACACGAGTCATTTGCACACATGCATGCACACACGCACACACATACACACACACACACACACACACACACACACACATACTGTATTTTCTCCATTATAAGCCCTGCGCTTATATGTTTTCAACCAGTCCAGACCCCGAGCTTATATTAGAGACTGGGATTCTACTAGAGACTGGGCTTATAGTTTTTCAACCACCTGGTACATGTACATTGCCTATTATTTTTCATATATCAGTAGCAGAAAGTTTCCTAGCAGGTACCTGGACTGCAGTTTTGTGCTTCTTGGTACACTCAGTCTGAACATTAGATTTCGGGGATCATAGACCTTTACCACAGCATGTGTTTATGTGATACTGTGTGATGTCAAACATGCATGGACATCTCTCCCCAATAATTATCGACCTGTTTCTTTACTCCCCATTATCTCTAAACTACTTGAGAAGATCGTCCAACGCCAACTTGTCCGCCACCTTCGAACGAACCAGTGCCTCCCTACTACCCAATTTGCCTACCGTCAGCACCATTGCACTGAGGATGCCCTCTGCCTTTTCACTGACAGTCTCTTCGCTGCCAAGGACAGGGGAAATGTGACCAGACCGTTGGACATGTCCAAATCATTCGACAAAGTCCGCCACGCACAGCTCATTGTCGATCTGTTTGACGTCGGTGTGTCCGGATCGGCCCTCATCTGGTTTGCCAGCTACCCAACTGCGCGTGAGCAGATGGTCTGCATTGGGCCAACCACGAGTCAGGCCACTCCCTGCACGTGTGGTGTACCACAAGGATCTGTGCTAGGTCCTGTTCTATTTTCCACGTCCCCTCCGTCCTGCACCCTGTACCCAGCATCCAGTTTGCGGACGACATAGCATTATATTCCTCGCAGAGTTCTGTTGGGGCTGTCTCTGCTACGCTTACGACGGCAGTCATCAACCTAGCTGTTTGGCTACAGGCGAAATCCGACAGGAATTGCTGAAGGATTCAAAGCTGATGCTCGCTGATGCGATTTCCAAGGCTATAGCCTTGGAGTCGTTACAAGCAGACTGCAAACTGTACATGGATAATACCACGCCACTCTTGGAGTCGTCACAAGCAGACTGCAAACTGTACATGGATAATACCCCGCCACCAGCACATGGCGCAGTAGCTGCAGTCGTTGACGATCACACCAGGCATCCATTTTGCAAGAAAGGGCCCAGTTGCAGTTCTGGTCAGTGCAAATATTGTGGACGATCTCATGCTCGGGGAAAACAATTTTGTCCAGCTTCACCCGTCCGCTGACACGACTGTGGGAAGGTGGGACACTTCAGCGCAGTGTGCCAATCCAGTAAGACACCCAATGGAGCCAATGCAGTGGAGGATGCTGATGTCCACAGTGAGGCTGCCAGTGTGGTGTATGATTCGATTTACGCATGCAGCGACCGAGCAGCACGAAGAAGCTACGCAATCACACTGATTGTCAATGGACAACCATGCGAAGGCTTGATGGCTACAGGTGCGACCCGGACTATCCTGACGAATGACGTCGTACAACCATCTCGTCCGAGTAACCGCATTTTGAAGGCGTATAACGGCGGAGAAATGAACACACTGGGTATGGCGGATGTAAACACTGCAGTCGGAGATCAGACGATGCAGTGCTCCTGCCGTGTTCTGTTCCCAGCGGCACGCGGTAAGTGTTGTTTGGCCAGGACGTTATTTCACAACTTCAACTCCTGATGGCCTCGCACTTGGTTGACACGGCACGTCTGGTGGACACTGCACCAGTGTCCATCACGGTCAACCCTGAAGCCCGTCCAGTTGCCCAGCCCGCCCGCCAACCACCGTTCAGCGCAAAGGTGGACATTGAGCAAGAATTCCAACGCCTAGTCAAGGCCGATATTATTGAGCCAGTCAAGCAAGCCACAGCCTGGGTATCACCCATCGTCCCAGTGCGTAAGTCAAATGGTAGCTTAGGTCTGTGTGTGGATTATAGAGAACTCAATAAGTCGATCATTCGAGAGCGTCATTCTCTTCCCACTGTTGATGAGATCATGGCCGAGCTTGCGGGGGCAGACATGTTCTCCGTGTTAGATGCAGAGTCAGGATTTCATCAGCTACTGCTCAGTGAAGAGTCCCGACCCCTCACTACTTTTACGGACCATTGTGGCCTCTTCAGATTCAAGCGTCTGCCATTTGGTGTCTCATGTAAAATATTTCAGTGAGTAGTCTCTGACATTCTGTCTGGTTTACCGGGTGTGATTGTGTACATAGATGACATCCTGGTGTTTGCCCGCAATCGCAAGGTGCCCGATGAGAGATTAGCTGCAGTTCTGTCTCAACTGGAGGCTGCTAATCTGACAGTCAACAAAGACAAAATGTCGCATCCGACCAGGTGAAGTACCTCGGCTACATCCTGACTGAGGCCGGCAATCAGGCAGACACGGACAAGCTTGGCGTCACTCAGAACATGGCCGAACCGAAGTCAGCGGCAGGCGTACAGCGTTTCCTGGGTATAGTAACTTACCTTGGGAAGTTCATCCCTCAATTGACCGGTGCTACAGAACCGCTGCGGACCCTGCTCAAATGTGAATCGTTTACAATCGATGATGAATTGTTAGCAGCATTCAACAAGGTGAAGCAGACCGTCGCTAGATCTTTGCACACGCTCGCCTACTTCAATCATCATTGGACGCTCCAACGGCAGTCAGTTGTGATGCTTCCCCATTTGGTTTAGGCGCTATCTTGTGGCAACGGAGCTCCTCCGGCCAGTGGGTTCCTGTGACGTGCACCAGCAGAACTTTGACAGACACCAAGACACGCTACCAAGACACGCTACTCACAATTGGAAAGAGAGATGCTGGGCATTGTCTTTGCTCTCACATGGTTCCGCCAATATGTCCTTGGCCGTCATATTGAAGTCTTCACCGACCACAAGCCTCAGCTCCCAAGTGTGAAGAAGCCATTCGACGATGTTCCCCCGAGGTTGCAACGGTGGCTAGTCTCCCTGATGTCATTCGACTACACACTCAAGCATGTTCCAGCCAAGCAGTTGTCCTGCACTGACACATTGTCCAGGGCACCGCTGCCCGACTCTGAAGGCACGCCAGCAGAGTCTCAATCACTTCATTTGTACGTCAGTCTAGTCCTGGAAGCCGCGCCAGTGAGCACTGATGAAATTCGCCATGTGACAGAGGAGGACGCCACTCTGTCAAATATTAGGCGGCGGGTGTTGACGTCATGGCAGGATCTGTGCCCCAGCGAACAACCATCTTATCTGGTCCGGGACAAGCTGACCGTAGTCGATGGTATCGTCTTGTTCTCCGCCCGATTTTTAATCCCAGAGGGATTGTGCTCGGCTGTCATGGCACTAGCACATGAAAGTCATCCGGGTCAAGATGCATTCCATGATGCTTTGCGACAGCGTGTCTGGTGGCCTGGATTGACAAAAGATGCAAACCTCTATGTCGAGCGTTGTTCAGTGTGTTGGTGTTGTAAAACCACAAGTTCTCGAGAGTGAAAGGCCTTCTCGCTTGTGACATTGTGTTCGCTTCAATGCAGTTGTATCCCGACTCCGCCGTACCGCTGATGTTTACGACGTGGTATACGCTACAAGCTGAACGCCTTCCATAGACGTCAACTACGGAACTTGTTCGGAATTAGGTATCCCGCCATCATCTCCAACAAAGACCTATATTCCAGAGCACACACACAGCCACTTTCGCACACCGTTGCTGTCCGCCGTTTCCGGATGTTGGGTCATGTTCTGAGGATGCCCTCAGATGCCCCGCCACAGCAGGCAATGGACAACTACTTCCGTCGAGATGTCACCGGTGTGCGTGGACGCCCGAAATCGAACCTGGCCACGGCAGTCAAGGCAAGCACAGCTGCCAGAGACATGCCACTGAAGACCATGACTGATCTGAGTGGGCTCAGAATGCGCGCTTTGGACAAGCAATCATGGAGGGAACTCTCAGCCTGAGCTGGTTTTGCTCGCGGCTGCAACGCACGGGGTAGTGAACCCAGGACAGAAGCGGACCAGGCATCATGACTTTGCACATCTATCGTTATGCTGCTTCATTACGCGACCTGTTTTATTATTATTATTATTATTATACGCTACAGGCGCTATGTGCGATTTGCTGGGTGCGCTGTAGTTGTATGTTGTATGTGTATGCTTTTCTCATAAATTATACGCTGTCATTTTCACGCTATAACTACCTGGTGGTTTTAGTGTTAGTCATTTCATTCATTGTTCATTGTTATTAGTCGATGGAAGTGAAATATACTGTTGAGAATAAATAGTTGTCCTCATGCCGTGTGGGGTCGTTCGTTCCTGATACTTAAGAGAACCAGAGGGTTCACAACATTTGGCGACCACGCCAGGATACGAAGCGAGCATGACACAGGAACTATGGATCATTGAAGCCAGCTTTATCGCTAGCGGAATTCGTTATGGATTTAAAGGCGATAGGTTGAGAGAATACGTGGAGAAGAGGCTCCGACAGTGCGAGGAGTTTGAAGAGCGCAGTGCTAGACGGCAAGAGGGTGCTCTCCGCCCAGAGTTTGACGAAAAGCTCAAGAACTTGAAGAAGATGAACGAGCGCATCGCCAGCAGTACATATGAGGGAGCAAAGCGAAATTTGCTTGCCACACGCGAAAGGACGCCGGACAATGTGTGGAAGACTTTGCTTACAGACAAGCAGCGGTCAGAGGAGTATTCGAAGCCAGTGGGAGGATCAGATCCAAGTGCAGTGCATGGCAACATCGGTCGGAGACGCTCAGAAGCAGCTGGAGTCTCGGCCGAAGGACGTAGAGGCGCAAGACGTAGAGGCGCAAGACGTAGAGGCGCAAGACGTAGAGGCGCAAGACGTAGA